AGATTTCACAACGATTTCATTCCACTTTAGATCAATTATCTACATCTATTATTAACGATCAAATAAACAAACCTATCTATGAATTATCAATAATATTATCAAATGAGCAATATCTAATGCAATCAATGAATAATACACAAATATCATTTTCATCTCCTCTCACCTGTATCCATCATGAGTTTATATATCAAGTAATAAAACATCCACAAAAACTAGCAGTTGAACTAGATGAACAATCATTAACATACTGTGAACTGCTATATTATGTTCAAGTATTATCTTTAAGTCTCCTGACAGAATATCATGTGTTTCCAGGGGAGGTCGTATGTCAATGTGTTGAGCGAAGTTTATCAATGGTAAGTTAATTAAGAGAAATAAATATTGATCAGAGTTTCAAATTGGTTTTGATTAGGTGATTGGTATTATGGGAATTGAAATGGCTGGTGGCGTTTATTGTCCATTATCACCTCGGGATCCACAACATCGTTTGCATGCACTCACACAACAAACTCAAAGTCGTCTTGTTCTTGTTCAGCATTCTACAACGTTAAAATTTTCTACTGAAACCGTTTTATGTAACATAGATTTAATATCAACTGTCGGCGACATTAACAATATTATAATTACGGATCGCCGATCAGGTATTGTGGTAACGGGAGACAGTATTGCATATATTGTTTTTACTAGTGGCTCAACAGGAACATCGAAAGGAGTATGCTGAGCTCTGATCTAAGTAATCATTTTATTTGAGTTTTGCTTTTAGGTCCGAATTCGTCATCGAAATTTGTTGGCTTGCACTGCTTCTGTTGTTCGACTGAATTTATTCACAGATAAAGACACTATGATACAAATGGCAAGTTGTTCATACGATGTGCATGCTCGGGAAATCATTGGAGCTTTAATTACTGGCTCAACGATTATAATGCTTCATACTCAAGGAAATATGGATTTAGACTATATGACGAAGACGTTAAATGTAAAACAAGTATCATATCTGCAGTGTGTACCAGCATATGCCAATGCTTTGTTAGACTTTATTCAAGGTCACAGCGTTTCAAATTTGAATAGTTTGCGTACTGTTGATATCGGTGGTATGTTTCACATTTAATTTATTAAATACTAATTGTTAAAACTTTCTAGGAGAGACGAGCACAGTTCAACTAATTGATAAGTTGTATACCTATTTGTCACAAGATTGTTCTGTATGGAACATCTATGGACCTGCCGAAACAACTGTCGATTGTACAAGTTATGTCATAGGTAGAAATCTGAATATGATCAATATTCCAATTGGAGGTCCACTAGCCAATTATCGATGTATAATTATGAATCAATATTTGCAATCATCTGTCGTTGGTCAAGAAGGCGAACTGTTTGTGGGAGGAGCAGGAGTATTTGCTGGTTATCTTGGACGTGATGATTTGACTGCAAAAGCACTTACTGAAATTGATGCTGAATTATTTTATCGAACAGGTGATCTTGTTACAATGGATAACAACGGTCTTCTCCATTATCACGGAAGAAAAGATCATCAAATCAAATTACATGGTCAACGAATTGAACTTGGTGAAATCGAACGATGTTTACTTAACATCAC